GGAATTAAGTTTCTGAGTGCAGGTCGCAGATACTTTGCCACATCTGGTATTATGAAGCAAGAACAACTRTAATGCAGCAGGTTTTCCTTCAGAAAGCCCGGCTTTGCATTTGGCTCCCGAGGTTAAAAACTCGAACCGAATGCAGTGAAGTGACCGCTGAGGATTGTTAATCATTCCTATCAGCAGAGGTTTAGCTCTGCGAGCTGCTGGGAGCCCAGCTGGCGTGCCCGAGCTGTAAGGACGAGCAGCCTTGACTGCAGAGGCTGTGGTCCTTCCCCACAGCTGGAGGTGCCCGCTGGGCTGAACTGCAGTGCCTGTTGTGTGGCCTGGGGCAAACTGCTCTGGTGTCTGAGCTGGGTCTCTTGGTCACAGTGCCTGAGAAAAAGCAGAAAGATCCTTCTCAGGAGAAAGAGCCGCTTCTGTTGCTGGAGTGCCTGTTTCAAGCACCTGGAACAGGTAGAGAGGAGCTAGTCTGTCAGGATGCCTGCAAAAATCTTGGATGCTCTTCTGGTAATTTAGTTTGTGATGACATAATTCTGCATTAGAATTTTTTTTTTTACTATTATTTTTTTCATAGCCAACTTCCTGCCAACTTAATTTATACCAGGAACCTTGGCACACTGTTGTCTGCTGCGTAAATCAGTTGGCAAATGCTTTTATGCATTTTTTTTCCCTTCTCCTTCTTCTTTATCTCTGTTTTTAGGTTTTCAGGGGGGAAGAAGGGTGGGGGAAGGTACTCACCGCAATGGCAGAAGCAACTGGAGGATAAAAGCCAAGTCCTCGGTCCAAATGTGCAGAGGAGTAAAACTTTTACTAGTCTAGGTACTGCTTTTTAATATAAAAGGGGTGTGTGTGTGTGTATTTATATATATATATATTTATTAAATTTATATATAAATTGGGGATAAATATATATAATTTATATATAAATATATATAAAAATAAATATATATAAATTAATTTATTAAATTTTTATATATATAAATACACACACACACACACACATATATATATATATAAAGGACTTTAATACCTGTTTTATAGGCTTAGACAATACTAAAACTGCCTTTCTGAGAAGACAGTGGTTGATTGTGATGCTGAAAGTTTCTGAGAGAGAGGCCTTATGCTGAAGCAGGTCAGCAAATTTGCAGATCAGGAAGCAGCAGGGCAGACGTGTGCCCAGGCAGCACATCCAGTGGGGTCACGAGGCTGTGGATGGAAGCTGGGTGTTCCCTGCTTTCCGCTTCCCCGTTTCGGTGTGCCGGGTGGGATGCCTGTACCCGCAGCGCGGGCTCGTCGCGGGCMCGGAGGGCAAACACCGAGGGCTGTGTGCCCCAGAGCTGCAGGGACCCCTGTGTGCTGATCCCTGCTGATCCGTGCGGGTCCGTGCTGGGCTCCCCTCGCTCGAGGCCCAGGGGATGGAAGCAGCGTGGCACAAGCTTTCCCGGGAAGCRCTGCTAGCTCCACGCCTCCCTGCGCCAGGAAGGCAGTATATGAGCATTGCAGCGACCAGGCCTTGTGTCTGCACAGTGAAATCTGTTATGGCCTTTTTGAGCTAGAAATACTTTTTCCTCAAAGTATCTGGAATCAGTTGTGCTCTCTATATGGGAGCCAATCTAACTGCAATAAGTTATTAAATTATTTTTTCTAATACACTGCTTAGCTTTTGCTTATTTTGCCAGGTTCYAGATTACCCCTGTGCATAAAGTACTGCCTCTCTTCCACTAACTAAATAGCTGAATCTCTGAAGCTCCTGCAGTGCACAGGGTCTAAAATCTCTTTCTGGTCAAACGCTCTGTCCCCTCCRTATCCACATGCTGTTTTGCGTAGCTTGCAGTTAGATTGTGGSCTGTTATAACTGCTGCTTGGATGTGCTATCTGTGACTAGTAAGCTGGAAAGAGCATTTGTTGCAGAAACAGGCCATTTTCCATCATATGTTGATTTTGGAACTGATTGCCAAAAATTAAATAGGGATGAGGTTGAAGTCATTGTGTAAGGAAAGGCTAGTGGTAGGATGCTTTATTTATCTTAACTGTTAACAATATGCTTATTTTAAAGGGAGGAAATAACTGACATTTAACCAGTTGATTTTGCCAGTCTTTTCACTTTGGCTTTGCTTGTATTGGTGGTGKTTGCCATTACCTCTCAAGAGTCTGAGGGTAACGTTGCAGTGAATTTGCTAGGGCTTCTTAGGGATTTACCYCCAAAGTAGGGGAAAGAAAGCAGAAGTGCAAGTGAAAGGGGGGATGCCAGCAGGAATCTGCAATCTGATTCATTCCTACTTGCCAGATGTGCCTTAGAAGCCTCATGTTCTGTAATAATCCATTTCTGTGGCTATGGCATCTGTGGATGCACCTTCTGACCAATCTGATTCTTTCCCTTCTTTCATTTTGGCAGTTTTGTACACCACTGCAAAGCACAAATTACTCTGTCTGTTGGTAGCTTTTTCGCCTGAATTAACAGCTTTTGAAATAGGGCTTTGGAGCAGGTGAATGGCTAATCCATGGCCTTCTGCCCTTATTAAACCCAGCACATCTCTTTGGCTCCTAGGGAAGGAAAGACCGATGCTCTCAAATTTTGGGAGGTTTATTTTTATCTCTGCGATATATCTGAAGAACTGAGTATATGCATCTGATTTCCAACTTACTTAAAAACAAATGTGTCTTATGCTCCCGCTGCATTCATTATTTTTAGATGTTTTGCTAGTTTTCCTAAAGAGTAGTAAAATCTGCCCCTGTCCTAGTGAACTCTCTTCATTCGTGGAAATCAGAGCAAGAACTTGATGCCACGTTGTGCATAACTGGGGATGATGGCCTCCTCACAGGCATCTGAGCTGCGGGGAAGAGGGACTCCTATTATCTCAGCTTTGTTAAATCAAGTTGTGAAAACAGGTCAAGTAGGAGTCATAGCAGGAAAACCTCTTTCTTCTGTTCAGCTTTGCTTCGCACGGTATAATCTGTGAGTGTGGAAAGCCTCAATTCCTACTGGGAAAAAAATACACTGGTGGGAGGCACTAAGTGCCCTTGGGACGCAGGGTTTTCTGCAGCGTGGGACCGTCTGCCCGCRAAGCCCAAGAGCTTGACAGGCTCTGTGGGAGACTCCTGACACGCTCCAGGTCGGCTGCGCTGCTGCAGAAGGGTCTTATTTCCCTTCTCTGCGTGTATTTGCACTTGAGCAGAGTATCGCTTAACCAGCAAGAAATATTTCCAGGCTTAAAGATAAAGGGAAGGATTTCTCCTCTTCATTTCTGTTTTTATGTCAGAGGAAGGAATAGTGACGTGYGGTTTTGAGGCAGGCAGGGCTAAATGACAAACATGTTTTTTCTCTTTTTTTTTTCTTAGCGTAACTTGTTTAGAGCATAATTTTTACTGTAATTTTACTGTGTATTATTTGTGGCAAAGCAGTTTCTCCTTTTTGCTTCTCCTGGCCTGCCCCTGCCCTCCAGCTGCAAGTAGGACCTCACTACGGTGGGCCTTATCTGACAGGATCTTCATGCAGTAACGCTGTTATAAAATTGTTTTTCCTCTCCCTCCTTYGTGTTTCAATGGTGAAAAGAAGGTGTCTTTCAATATGTGTTGTGAGAGTTAATGTGTTTTGTGAAATAAGCTTTGTGCTGCCCTTCACCCTGTATAAGCTGGGGAAATAGGAGCTTACACTGTGACAGGCAGCGCTGTGTGAACTTCCTTTCCAGCTCTGCAGCTCCCGGATCCTTCTGCATTCACATCTGTCAAGCAAMATAATGTGCTGATTGCTTCTGGAGCAAGCGGTTATGTTGAAAACCTCAGGGTATAAATTATTTTATTATTTATGTGTTCTAGTAGGCCAATGAGAAGAGGCACAGGTAAAGGATACCAAGTTGTCTATTCGGGTCCCAGATTTAAAATTTTAGTATGCCAGTCTAAATGGAGGGTTAAAACCTTGATTCTAGACTTTTCTTTGAGATTGTAGGACAGAATATATATATATATATATATATATATAATGTTATTAATATATAAAAATATATTTAATAATTATATATATATAATACATACATACATATATATATATTCCCCCCCCCGCCAAGATACTCTTCTATGTCCGCATGTCTGTGAGGAGAATAAAATGTAGCTACTTGTGTTTCTGGAGAGCCTTCTCTGCTTTTACATCTATGAAGGAGTTTAGTAGAAGATGACAAAAAGATGGTTGGGAATGAGACTTTGTACTATGTCACAATTCCTTATATAAAGAAGCAGGGCTGTTACTTAAATGCTAGACAACTCTGCCAGTGCTTCAAACAACTTTTTTTTTTTTTTTTTTTTTGGATTTAGCATCATTCTAGGCAGTACCTAATAAAGCTATTGTATGTAACCCTTAAATTAGGTTATGTTTTTGTTATTGTCTATTGTCCTCTCCTTTTTTTTTTTTTTCCTTCCCCCCCCTCCTTTCCCTGACTATGTGACAGTCCTTTTCTCACTACTTGCTGGTATTTACATAGTTCATCCTGTATGCAAAGTCTCAAAATGTTTCCAAGTTCAGCAGCGGTTACTTAAACCTGCAGTAACTTTTGATTTCCTTTGCTGAAATGCTTGCTTTATGAAATGCTCCTGTACCCAAATTGAAATTGAAACATGYGTGTAGAACAGTGTGTTAATCAGGTTGTTTGCTAAAGCTAAAAGCATTTCCTTCTCCTCCTGGAAAAATTTATGCAGCTTGTCCTGGACCCTGCAGAGAACTGCCACTCGTAAACTGTGAATCCTCTTGGAAAATATTGGTCATTTCTAACAGGCTCTGCGGGAGTCTTTCCTCTTGTAAAGTTTGCATTAGTGTTGGGTTGAGAGTTCCAGTTTGGGAAACGCTACCTTCCCACATATTTATTGCTCTGTGTACATTAGCCTTTCCCGTACTTAGCACTTGCTTTTCCTTTTGGAGGATATCTGTGGTTCTGATAGTTGTCCCGTGCAACCTGCTTAATAAGCTGCTTACTGGGTTTGTCTGTTGTTTCCCCCATGTGCAGGCTCGTGTTATGTATGACTTTGCTGCCGAGCCCGGAAGCAACGAGCTGACCGTCAGCGAAGGGGAGATCATCGTCATCACCAACCCGGTAAGCCAAGCGAGGGAAGGAGGCCCTGGGGCAGCCTCCTGCCTTGTCTCCAGCACTCTAGAGAAGAGGTGTTGGGTGACGTGGGACCAAGCGCCGGCTACCTTCCCTTTGCCAAAGCAGCCAWGAGGTTAATACTTGGGATTTCTAGTGATGCTGGGGCAGTGAGGTGAGGAGCACAGCGTCCTTGTCCTCCTCATGGGGTGTCCTGCGCAGCCTGTGCCTGCACACCTGGAGCTCAGCCCTTTGCGCCCTCTAAAAGGGCTGTTGCAAGGCAGAGGAAGGAGCTAATGGTAGGGGTACCTTTCACATACATTTTGTGCCTTTTTTTGCTTGCTTAGGCCCACCTTTTKGGGGAGTATGCCATCTTTTGTATGCTTGCCCGGTCCATTTAATGGTTAATTCTGACAGTCTGACTTGCTTCAAGGTTTTCTGATTTTTTTTTTTTTAATTAATGACTTTAGCATGCCAAGAGACTGATATGTTTAGAGAATTTACCACAACATCTGTTGCTAAATCTGTGGTAAATTAATTAAAGCAATATGCACAAGATGCAGAGGAGGAGTGGGGAAAATATTTAAGATAAAGCTGTCAAGGAATTTTAATAGTACTCTTGAACACAGACATTTGACATGCTAATTTTTGATGAATGTGATGGGGCTTTTTTGTTTTTTTTTCTTAGTTTTTTTTAAGCTGGTTGAATGGAAAAAATAAGAAATTAATTTACTAGTCATTAATTTACTACTACAGACTAGTCATCACTAGTCCTGTTTATTTACTTGAGCAGACTTGGGTTGTCTGTCTTAGCTTGTCGAAGAAGTTCTTTGGAAACATGTCACTAAACCTTGTATATTTTCATGCAATCTGTATCCAAAGAATGTGTGGTGACATAAACAATCAGAAGTGCTCTCAAAATCAAGCTTCTCTTTCTCTTGCTTGTTAAAATKGAAGTCCCCAGTAGCCAGGTGACACGTGTGGGTCAGTATTCTCTGTTTAARTGAGCCTCTGCTTCTTCAGCAGATTTTAAGTGAATTTGTTCATGGTCATAGAGTCATCACTCTTTCAAGCATYGCAATTTGCATTTGAACCAAGACGGTTCTTCCTGCAGGTTTGTTTAAAGCACGCTGTGGCATCCATCGCAAAACCACTTCATTAGTATTGTGTTTTTTTTTCTCTCTCTTTCTCCTTTCTTTTAGGATGTTGGTGGAGGCTGGTTAGAAGGAAAAAACAGCCAAGGAGAGAGGGGCCTTGTTCCAACAGATTATGTTGAAGTAAGTGATTGCTGTGTTAAGCTCTAAGAAAGCGGAACGACTGAAAGGGTCATCCTTTGATTTGCAGATCAGCCTCTGTGGCTCAAACACTAAAACTTGCAGTATTAAAGCTCAGAGTACTTAATCCCATTGGAGCAACTGTAGGCGATGTTGGAGATCAGTGCAGACATCTCATTCAAAGCCACTGTGCTTCTTAGCGGGCTTTCAAGCAATGCAAAGGGAACTTGGCTGTAGTAAATACAGGTAATCTGTTAGCTGTGAATGTTGGCTACTCTGAATTTCCTTCTGGCTTTTGCTGTCTCACAGTCTAGTACCTGTTTTGCTTTCCTGTATGAGGATGCAGATGAAAAAATGAAATGTTTAATAAAACTGCACTGATGATACTGCCGTGGCTGACTTGCCACATGTTTGGAGATCTCTGGAGCAGAACCCCAGTTCTGGGGTTTGGGATACAGCATCCCAAGCATTCCTGAGGGCAAGGGCTGGCTCCTCTGTGTGTGTGTGTTGGTTTGTTTAATGACCGGCATTCCTAGGTGAGCAGGTAGAAGTGCTTTGCTGACTGTAATAGTTGAACTCTAATTCATTCTTTCTGGGGGGCCCCACTACTGGTAAGTGTGCAGGCTGACAGCAATCACAAGGCTGTGATTCCTGCAGGCTCATCTTAAGGCTTGTTCCCTCCCTCCCCAATTCTGAGTGTGTTTTTATTTATTTTTCCCCTCTTTTCCTTTTTATTTCTCTCTCCTTCAGTTAGTGTGAGCTCAGGGTCTGGTAGCTTTTTGCTCTTTGTCTGTCCCAARCAGACAGTTCCCAAGCAGTTACCTTAACACCCTTATTAATTCTTGGCAMATTTATGGATGGGTGTTCACTGCCGCAAGTTTTCTGTTTCATCTGTTGTGGGTTGTGGAAGATTTATCTTCACAAGTTCTAGTAAAAGGTACAATTCAGTTGGAGTTCAAAAATGACACTCAGTGACTGAATCACAGAATTATTATAAAAAAGTGTCTCGTTACAAGCATATTAGGATAATTATATAAGATAATCAGTGCATTTTGATTAATGGAAGCATGGCAATTGTTTTACAATTTTCTTTCTATTTCAGATTATAAATGAAGGTGCAAAAGATGGAAATACTTGTGGTAACTCATTAGCTGACCAAGCCTTTTTTGATTCCCTCWCCTCAAATACAGCTCAGACCAGCTCGGCTGCTAAGAGCAGCAATCAGGTATGTCTGCAGGGTTTTTGGGCCCAGTGGGTGATGAAGCAAGTTCCTACATGGTCTCTGGTCAGTTGAAGGAGTAGTTGACTTTGGTTTTGAAGAAAGGATGTATTGATTTTGTTTTGTCTTCATCCCTTTCTCTTTTCTTTCTTTGTAGCTTTGTCCAGTGTGTCAGTTTACTAAGAATSTAGTAGTAAGTAAACAGTGTCAGATTAGGTATAGAAGGACATATGTTATCTTAMATGCGAGTTGTTTATCATAGTCTTCAGACTGCAGCACATCCCATGTGCAGCAACACTTCAGTAACCAGAGTTAGACTGTGGTTAAAAAGAGCTAAACTTGCCGTTTCCAACAGTGGCATGTAGAGGTCTTGCATATTGGAAAGTAGATGATTTACTCATCATAGCAGCTGGARATTCACTCCTAATTTGTGGGACCCTTAAAAATAAGCTGCCAGTGTTCTTTACTGTAGTTTGCATTGCAGGGCTTTAAGATAGACCAAGATCGCTCTTGAACTATATACATGGTATATTTTTGTATGACAGTGGATACAACAGTTCTTTTACCGTGGGATGTTTGGTTTGTGCTTGTATTCTGCTGTCGGGAGTTACACGAGATTGCCTGGCTTCAAACTAAAAAGCTTTAGCTGTTCTTCAGTGGTCACACGTAGTTTGCATCTTTGCTGCCATATAATAGAGAAGTTTGAGAGAGTGGAGTGGGGGCAAGTTCCCTGTGGTGCCTGTAAGTGCTTCATCATGCTCCAGGCCAAGGCATGATATTAATGCATCTTTTCTTTGGCTCCTGAATGCTCTGCCTGTGCCTATTCAGAGCTCTGGCTTCACTGTGACTGTCTCATTGTTGATCAACAAAGTGTGCGTCTGTATGTATATATACGTGTRTGTGTGTATATAAATGTTTTTAAAATGCATATGCATACATATATATGTGTGTGTAAATATAAATATTTGTGTTTTATATAAATAATGCATCTATACATACACACACACACACACACACACACATACATATATGGATTAAATTAAGGCCCAGACACAGCTTTTGAACTGCCTTTTGGGTTAGAGATCCAAAAGCATTGACTTTTGTTCATCCTACTTAAGTTCAATCTAATGCTGTAAAATTCCTAAAAATTTTGAAAGCAGAGTGGAAACTTTATTTCTTCTGCTGTGTTAATCCTGTCCCCAATTTTGTTTCCTTCAGTGACCTTTTTTTAACAAAACTTTATGGCTGGGGAAGCTTGAAATAGCCACAGCATTTACTTTGGTTCAGTCTGAATACTGTTCTTTTCATGAAGAAATAGGAAAAGAATAATTTAACCCAGGAAGAATTACTTGCAGCAAAATACTGAGTACTACAGAGTGCTTCCAGTGGTAGCAGAGGTTTCTATCAGAGCTTTGTCAGTGCGTAACACAAGGTGCTCGTATGCCTAGAAGAGGGCAGAACAGCCCTCTTGCCTGCATGGGAAGAAAATTATAATAAATGTATCTATTCTGTTGTAAATAATAGAGCATTACTCTATGAATCTCTGTAGGAAAGGTGTACTTCTGATGGGGGGAASACTGGAAAAATGTAAAATATGGACACTTGGTATTACCTGTCATAAATAGTAGTATCATAAGGTTCAGCAATGTATTACTGCAGTTCATGCCAAAATACRCAGTTTGTGGTTTCTTTGCAACAAATGTTGGAATACGGTAACTTYAGGTGAAAAACTTGAATCTTCTGCATCAGTTTCTTATTCTTAATGCGAATATGAGTACTGGTAATATGAGTATGAGAAAGAGAAGCAGGATGAGGCTAARGCCGTGCAAAATCTGGGGGGAACTAATAGAAATGGTGGCGGGCTGGTGAGTGTGTTCCCCTGCTCCCCCTTATCAGGAACTGTGCCTGGCCACAGCTTCGTCTCAAGTGACTTACGCTTTCCCCACTTGTCCTGTAGCTGAGCCAGTAACTGCTGTTTGGTTATGTATTTTCTAGAAAAGCAGCAGATCCTGTTTTGGAGATTGGTTTCTTCAGCTTCTGATCTTTATCTCGTAGATTGTTCCGGTGGCTTGTTCCTAGTAAGAACTTGTGGCCAGCTTTGAATGTCGAGCAGCCTGGGTTCAGCTGGCTTCATGCCTTTCTCCACCAGGTYGGAGTTCTCCAGCGCAGCACATTATCCCCTTGCAAAAATGCTGTGGTTGGTCTGCCTCTTGATTTAAACAACAAAAACACCTCAGCCCATTTGCTTTCTTGACATAAGACACTTTTCTTGTTCTCAACCAAGCTTTGTTGTGACTTGCTTGTAAAATAGAGGTGTCGGARTTGTACAGATTGCTCCTGGGTACCTCTAGGGATGCCAAGTGCAGAGCAGCAATGCTGCTGTTCTGAGGTAAAATGCTGCTGTTCTGATGTGCAGAAAGCCACTACACTGGAGGATGGCATCAGTTCTGCTCCCAGTGGCTTCGAGAGGCCATACCAAGCTGCTAGTCCCCTACAAGAAGCAACCTCTCATTAGAGCAGCTGCTTATAGGAATACACAGCTGCTTATAACAATAATCTGCTTTGTGGCCAAGGCCTGTGTTCCTCGTTCCTAGGTGTATTTGCATTTGGTTCTGTTAACTCACAGTGCCCCATAAATGCCAGGGCAGGCGCTCTGCACTTCCTCAGATGCACCGTTGCCTGTGCTTGGCTTGCTCCACATGCTCTGAGGGATCTGGAGGGAGGATGGTGTTTACTAAGCAGCAGGCTTGCTTGCAGTACAGGGCCCTAAATCATTTTGTGTTTCCCACATCAGTGCTGGTGTGTGCTTCTCTCTCTGAAGGTTAAACCTCCTTCTTCCAGCTACCTGCATCCCCACTCCTGTGCTTTCCAGGCCTACTGGAGGCCTTTGGCCATTGAATTTTGGTGTCATGGAAGAATCATCARCTAAATCACTGCTCTGCACCTCTCTTTCCTTTCGTAATGAGATGCCTGTTGTGGTTGTTCAGTAAATCATCTCCTGAAAATCAAAACAGACCCCAGTAAGCGGCACCTGAGGAGCAGCAGCTCTCACTTCCTTTCCTTCAAGGAGAAGCACCCGCGAGGCCGCTGGCCGCACGCCAGGCCCGCCTTGGGCGCCGGCGCCAAGGGGCAYGGACACGCTCCCTGCRCACGAGGAMGCGCTCGGCGCGGCCCTGGGGGAGSYCGCCTGCCTCCTCTCCCCGCTTCCTTCCCCACGCTGTGTYCCAGCATCGGCGCGTTGGTGAAGCCGCCAACCCCTCCTGCCCCCACGGAGGCAGGAGGCGCGGGGGGTTTCGGAGCGGCCTGTTGGGGGTAAAGGCAGGCGGAGGAAGTAGTGAAGTTAACAGCGGCTTAGTCCGTTTTTCCCCTGTTTGTGTGAGTTCTTTTGCACTCAGAATAGAGAAGAGGAAGAACGGATAGGAGAAGGTGATGTTAAATCACAAATGTTATGGGCTGGTGTAGCACCTGATCTTTTAAAAAATATTAGTCCAAAGCTAATAATAACTAAGATAACCCTTAGCTGCAAAAGGCAGAGGCCATGACCGTGGCCAACAGCAGAGCCAGGCAGTTCTGAGCCTGCAGCCCTGGAGACAACAACTGATGGAAATGGGAAGACTTGCCGCTGTCAAGCCTTTGCGTGGCCATGCGGGCCGCTCTTTATAGACTGATACTTTCAAGATACTTTCTCAGTGCAAGAAGGAAAGCTAATGCCTAATTGTTGAACAGAATATAAAGAAAAAAGACCATCAGAGGTATGGAAAATCCTTTCCCTTCATAAAACTGGAACTAATGAAAACTCCTGGTTTAGTGTGCAGGAACTGAGACAACTTGCAAGTTACTTGATGTGTAGATGTAGTGCTGACCATACACAAGGAAAGCACTAAGAAAACTACTRAATCTCAGAACTTTCCTTCATTTCCCTTCTATTAGTTGTAGCTTAATGTCTAGAAGACAAATGGTAGTTAAATTTGTACATGTGCACTCACCCACGCTTCCTGGATGTATTATAAACAGCAATAAATGCTAAGACTGAAGAAAACAAATATAGTGCTTGTAATAAAAAATGTGCAATAATACAATATTCCACTTCTGTGAAGGTTCAGACTTGCACCAATTCCTGCAGTCCTGCAGCAGCGTTCCTGTTCTTTGTCATCTCTATGTCACTGGAGAGAATTGGCAGAATTGTCACGGGACATGTGTGACTTGGTTTTGGTTTAGTTTGACCCAGTCTGTCCTGTTAAACCAGTAAGTTAAAAGACCTTATAATAAAATAATGCAAGTAGGTCCACCAGGGAAGTTGCCATAATTGAAAGTGTTTATGGATTATCCATAAGAATATGGATATTCTCGCTTCCATAATTCTGCATGAATATGTATGTTATTATTATKAAATATTATAGAAATAAATGTAGTGTTACTCTGTAGGGACATAGTTATAGTTACAAAGCTGTGTAAATAGAAATACAAGCAAAACTAGTTGTGGGTGAAATGTTTTTCACAAAAGTCACAAAAATACCTGAAGGGTTTTATTCTRGGTTACTGCTTTCATGATTAGTAATTTCCAGTTCTCGTTGCAGCTGATGACAAAATAACATCTTCCACTGTTAAATATATCATTAAAGCAGCTCTTCTCCTCCTGCACTTAAGTCACAAAATTGCACTCGGACCTCCAAAAGGAGTTTGTGACCACTCCTGTTTAACAAGAATTCCAGGCAGTCAGTGTTGTAAAATATTGGTAGCGGAGGCTTACTTTGAAATGTGTTGCCTTTACATATTTATTAAAACACAGTTACAATAAATATATAAAATGATATATATAGCCCCTAATGGGATTGTGAAAGCTCAAGTGACAGGCAGCAAGCTGTTAAACTGCAGAACTTCCATCACTCTTCATAATGTTCTCATAGCCTCAGGCTATTCTTACTATTTCTAAAATAGACTATATCTGACTATTTATAAAGTAATGTCTTGCAATTTACAGCATTTGCATGCATTTTATCTTCTTT